GTTTACTTTTCGCACAAATATTTTTTAACTTGAAAATGGTGCCAGGATGACACCGAAACGTCGTTGCTCAGTTTTTTCGCTAATCTTTATTGTTAATTGTATTTCCAAATTTAATCTTATAAGAATAAACTGTATCGGGATCAAATCTTCTCACATACCATGCCATACCTTTACAACAAGAAATTTGATTGGCTGTTTATGGTAGATCCAATCTGATTGGTGTGACATACATACATCTCTCACTCACTCACCCATCCATTGACACGTCCGTAACATACCCTGACACGCTGACTAAGAGGTTTTTTTACAAAAACCTTGGAGTCAGCTGGCTCCTAAGTTTTCAAATTTAGTCACCAGCTAAAGTATTTCAGTGAAAAGCATGAAAAACTAGTCGCCAATGAATGATAATAAAAAATGAAAAAAAAAATTGGCAACCCCAGCGGTCGCAGTGTCAAGCTCTGTAATGTGAGTGAAATTTAAAATAATATTCCATGGTAAAAGCAAAACTTGCTGCACACAAGACCATGGTTGACATGGGTTGTAGAGTTTTCCTAAAAGCTTTGAAAGTCTGCACGTAATTTTTTTTTCTAAATTACTGTACTAAAAGAAAGAAGAAGGTAGAAGTATGCCTTGCTAAGAGTAGATTAGCCTAAAATTGTGCAAACAGAAAAGTACAGTGCAAGGCCCGGTGGAGGGGGGGGGNATATGCCGCTGTGAAGGGTATGGTTTTCAAGCAGTTTACTCTAGGATAGGGTATATAAATCAGAGCGTTTGGGTCTAGAATAGGGTATAATTTTCCACAAAACTGACTTGCTGGTTGAAAATTTTTTCTAGACTAAGGAAACCAGGAATTGCCACTCAAAAATATGAAAAAATCAAATCGGCAAGTTTAAATCTACGCAAATCAGCCTCAACAGTGTTGATAGACGAGGGGATTCGGGGAGTTTACTCTAGTATAGGGTAGCAAAATCCAGCTGAACTAGCTCTGGTATGGGCTAAGGGTTCCAGGGTCCCAACGGCACATCCCCACCCAGAAATTCCCAAAGAGACACTCCCCCGGGGGGTGCAAGGATCGCAAACAACGTGATGTACTAGTAATTTCACTTTTATTCATTATTATTTCCATTTTCAAAACAATACAGAAACGAATTATTTTCAAGCAGTATTCCTTTCATAATGTGGCCATTACTATTTTGAGCTTGAGTCAAGGGAGTGAAAAGCAGAGTAGATAACCCTATTACCTATCTCACCCTTCTAGAGATCTATCCATGATCCAAAGAGCTAACCCTCCTACAGAGCGAAGGGACTGGGAAGGATAACAAGACTTTTCCCCAGTTTCTCACGGTTAATGATCCGAAATTTTCATTCGGAACAAGCGGATGGACGAATGTGTGAACAATACAAGCGCTGATTTCTTCGGTGTTTACCTTCTGTACTGCTTAAATCCTCGCTACAAGGGACGCACTTACATCGGATTTACTGTTGACCCTAATCGCCGGATCAAACAGCACAATGGAGGGGTGCAGAAAGGAGGCGCGTACAGAACCAGTGGAAGGGGACCTTGGTTTGTAAATTCAAATGTTTTGGGAACCGTTGTTGAGAGAAAGTGTCGAGTCTTCTTCTGAAATTTATTCGAGCTCATGAGACCATTGGTAGCTAAACTTCTAGAAAGATTAAAAATCGGAGAAAGAGTAGGGAGTAGACGGTTGCTTCATTCTACAAAAAAATAACTTAACCACTCACTCATGTGCTGCTGTAGACTTTCAAAATTTGGTGTGGTTCTACATGATATCCATACCCACCCCAAGGAGGGTTATTTGAAATTTCAAGGGGGAGGGTAGTCTCGAAAGCCAAAGGTTGCTAAGGAAAGTGTGATCCTGAACTAGAAAAAAGTTTCCAGAGGGATGAAGTTGGGGGGGGGTGTAGGGGGAAGCTGTAAAATCAAAAACCCTCTTGTCTGGTTAACATTAGGACTGTAACTTAAATTATATATGTCACTGGTGTGAACCAAGCTTAAATAATAATAAGCCCTGAATAGTAAATGTGTTGCGAATTGTCCACAGGGAGATGATACTTATAATACATGGCTTTCCTAGTGATATAATTGCTTTACAGGTCAGTGAAAAGGTATATAATTTCCAACATAAAAAACTTGGGACTTTCTCAGGATTAAAATATACTTTAGCACATGAAATTATTTAGTGAGCAGGATACAAAGGTTGATCTCTTTGAATTCCAGCTACTTCTGTAAGAAAGAAAGGTGAGCAGGAATCAACGTTGGGTGGGGTGGGGAATGGAAGGGAAGACAGGGTCTTTCCTCTCCTCTCCCCTTCCTGTTAATTTTTCTTTATTTACTCAAATCTCTTTAACCTTTGGCTGTGCTGTTTAACAATTAGACCCATAGCCCTTGTGGGCTACGGGTCAATAGCCCATGAGGCGAAGCCGAATGGGCTATTGACCCATGGCGCTTGAGGGCGAAGGGTCTAATTATTGTTTTAGTATCACCCAACTAGTTGGACAGAAAAGGCAATAATAAAGTTAGCAAATGCAAGTTGAAGAAATAGTTATTTGGGAATAAAACGAAAGAAAGCGTCACGCTCGATTGCACCAATTTCGCTACTCGAGGACTATTACTTATAGTCCTCTAGTAGCGTAGCCAATCAAAATGCGGGATTTGCATTAGTCCACTAGTTGGGTGATACTAATTTCCATTATTCTGGCTTTGATAGAAGTGACTGCTGTACAGTGTAGATCTCATCATCCTCTATCATGTCCCAGGTTCATTACCTCGGTATAAGTGTACATGGGTTAAGTCCAGAAATGCTCAAAACGGAGAAGGAGGCTTAATTGAAGATGCACTCTTTCTTTCTCAAGTAATGGAGTGGGCAGGTCTTTTCTCCCTCCAATTAAGGAAGTGGAAGAAGAAGAAGAAAATATATATTATTAGTTTTCCTGGCCTTTTAAAAACAAAATGGGGAAACAGTGTGTGCTTATCCTAGATCTCCAACTTCACTCCTAATGTAAAAGGTTATTTCTCTGGCTTCATGATACATATGAGTTTTATCCTATCATATTGCTCTCATTTGAGGAGGTCTTGCAAATTGTAACTCATTACATTTGTTATTTATTATCTATGATATCACAGTTTGAGTGGGCATGGCAAAATCCAAGGAAATCGAGACGTTTGCGACATGTTGCCAACAAAACATCGAAAGAAAAAGGCATTGATTTTTGCTTTAGAGTACTCTCAGCAATGCTTAATGTTGGACCTTGGAACCGACTTCCTCTTACGATAAGATGGCTGAAACAAGAATACAAAATGGAATTTGATGTGGAACAGCTACCTCCTAGGCATATGCCAATAGTCTATGGACCTCTGAACAAGAGAAAACCCAAGAAGGGCAACGATGGAGGTAGTGAGGAAGTGGAAGAGGTCAATAGCACTTCTTATAGATGTGTAGAATGCTCTAAGAAGATCAAGGTATATAACATCCATTTTCCACTTCACGTAGTCAATGGCAATGGAAGATATTAATTTTTTGTACGATAGAGAACACGAAGTCCCATGTGAGACATCTGAACAAGAGTCTTAGATAATTGACTGTAGGAAAAAATACATCTTCTGAGACCCTAGGATTATAGTGATTGTATGAGGGAGGTTAGGAAAATGTCAGGGAACATTAACAACTCTTTGCTAAATTTAACACTGTTTTAGTAATTATACTTTGCACTGATATGCAGTAGTGAAGGTGAAACAAAACATCTGAGCACTCATTCACTTACAAATGTTAATCATGTGCAATGTCCCTGGTTATGCAGCATTGTGAGTTGTTATCCCTGGGGGCTCCCCAGCTAATAGGGAAAGAGCTTTTTCATTTTTGCTACTGTTAATATTGTCTTCAATTCTTGTGATTTTCTCTTGCTTCAGTTATGTGACCATGCTCCCCCACAGTTAGAGTTAGACTTGGGAGTTAGATCCCAAACTTTCATGACATTCCCATAACCAATCATTTTCAAGTATCTTCCATTCAACTAAAAAATCTATTCCTGTGTCTCCACAGACAAGTTAGATTCTTCCAAGATAATTTGCCAACTTTCCTTCACATAATTTTCTGTTGAGGATCTAGTAGCTGATAGTTGCTCCCTAGAAATTTGATGTTCTTAAAACAAAGATATGCTCAAGAATTCTTCACCCAATAATCTTCTGCCATGTTTCATTTTCTTACAGGATGTTCATGATTGCATTTCTTGTATCACAGACAACTGTCCAATGAAGGCTCATTTAGTTTGCCTTGCTAAGAGATTTCTCCAGAATAATGGAGAAGACTCATTTCTGATACCAGTAGAAGGCGATTGCCCAACCTGTGCCCATACATTTTTATGGCGAGATTTAATAAAGCATCATAATCAGACAGAAGAGGCCTCAGATCCAAATTCAGATAGTCCTCACTGGGCAGAGGAACTTAATAGATATTGAAACACTTAACTTCAGTCAAGTTTGGTTGTTCACAGCACTTCTTTGCCTATGTAAACTTGCATCTTTTTTTCCCTTGTTCAATTTTTCTCCTTCATGAGAGATATGGTGTCTGTTGTGAGATTTGTCCCTGAAAATTCTATACCAATATAACTTGCTCCTGTCAATCTTTTGGATGGGGGTTTTCAAGTTGAGTGTGTGAACAGACTGATGTTTGTTTAATACTCAGGCTAAAGATTTTTATAATCTACAACAATCTACAACACTGAAGCTAAGAAACTCTGTGCCTAAATTCAACTTCCTCTTCTGGCCATTCAAATTTTCCTTCTGGGCAACCATAGAATGCAGCTGAAATTGGAGATGTGAAATTGTTGCATATTCCATAATTCTTTGTAAATTATTTGCACAACACTTTTATCAGCATGTACATAAAGAATAATTTATTGCAAATCATTGGTATGTAAAAATTGTCAGTTATGCAAGTATTTGAAGCTTATTACATCACATCGAGTATTTATTACATTTTAATCAAGCCCAAATGGATTTTACCAATATACATAAGGCAAAATTTGTAAATACTTTTTATGAATAAAATGTTGCATTGAAAAACTTCCTAAAAATTTGATTGTAGTGAATTGTACTTCATTTCTCACCATCATTTTTTATCTTTTTTTCAACAATCATCAACAGTCATATAAGTACTGGTGGGAAGGTTTACACTGGTTCAAGAATGACAATTTTCACATTCTCCCTTGGAAGTAAGATATCAAATGCAAGAGACTATTTCATTGAATTATTGTCTTAACACTACAAACAGGGTGAAAAATTGATGTACAACAGACATTTTTGACAAAATTTGATGTGTTGGAAATGCAATGTAGCACGCATACTGGTAGTTATTGCTATTTGATTCATGAGAGTGAGTGTAATATTCAGGTTGAAATGAAACCACATGGGGCGCTTTCCATTCAATTTTAAATTTCTGGAAATTTCAAGGGACGAATGGAAGAGTATTTTCTGGAATTTCCTGAAAAGAGGACAACCTTGTGAGGTAAACCAAAATTTTTGGAAATTTCTTACCAGGAATTACTGTTCCATTTGACTTTCTTCCCTAAGTTTCCGGAATTTTTGGTTGAATGGTTCACGTTTTGGAAATTTGACAATTTCCGGAGTTTTGGAAATTCCCACACCATTTGTCCCATGTCAAAAATTTTGGAATTTTTGGTTGAATGGAAATTGCCTAGGGTAAAATGCACAGGAGCTTAATATAGATCAAACTTATCATGATGGCACTTTTAACAACAAGGCCCTGAACTACCACTGTGTAAGAAAAGAAAACTTCAACGTATAAATCAACAAACAGTCTTTAATTATTTCACATGAATTGTAAGTGCTGCACATTCAAAACTACACTGCTTTTACAAACACCTCAATTAAAATAACCATCAGAGTATCCGCTTAAGAATGCTTATCAGTGTAACATTCCAGCCCACAATGCAAAAACAACTTTTATGCACTTAAGTGATGCTATTTGTAAGGCACCTCTTCTGCTAAATATAATTTGCCATTACTCATTGAGCATATTATGTACTTTTGTTTCCAGGGGCTAGAATGTTTTGTTGTTGTTGTTTTTTTTTTTTACAAAGTTGGGAATCAGCTGTCAAGTAGCTTCATGTTTTATCTGTAAAGAAAATCTGCTTGAAGATTGCCTGCTATTTCAGCCTCCCATCGGTCACCATTATTAAGAAGTTTCTCTTTGTTGTATAGTAACTCTTGATGTGTCTCAGTAGCAAACTCAAAGTTGGGACCCTGAGGAGTTGAGAAGGTTAATAGAAGATAATAATTAATGAATGTCTATGTGGGATTCCAAAATTCTATTATCTGTTGAGTATGTTTTAAAAAGGATAATATTTTACCATTAAAGCTGTGGTTATCTTACTCTGGATGTAATATGTCAAACACAAAAGACCGTGCTTGACCACATTTCCAAACACCGAGAAGAGAGTTGAAAATATGATGTGCAGCAGAGTATTTTTGACAAACTTTGAGGTGACAAAATTTTATTAATCTCAAATACCTCCACAATAGCATCGACTGGACAGGCTTCCTGACAAAACCCACAATAGATGCATTTTGTCATGTCAATGTCATAGCGTGTTGTTCGACGACTGCCATCAGCTCTAGGCTCTGCCTCAATGGTAATTGCCTATCAATACAGGAGAATAAACTAAACTTTGATATATGCACAGTAGAATGTTGCTCAATTATGCACTAGGTGTAAGCAACTTGGTGTGGGATTTAGAGTGAATATATAGTCAGCAAGGAACAATTCCTTGACATTTCCCATTAAAAATTATAACATTTCCCTTACCAAATAAATAAAAAATGTCTGATATCAACCTTCAGCCTCCCCTTACAGTTGTCCTTTGTAACCATTCTTTCTAGACTGAGAAGTTTTCAACAAATTCACCTTCATCAAGAAAAAACAACTCGAGATTGCAGTGACCACAAATGTTTCTTCCAGGCTTCAATGGCGGTAAATCAGCAGTGTAGTTATACCGGTAATAAATTTAATTTTCCTTGATTTTTTCTCAAAATGCCAGTTTGACCTAACTCAATTTACAGTAAAAATTAGGGGTAAAAGTTCCAAACCACTCTCCAATCACTAAGACTGAAGAGTGGTCAAAACGTCATGCTGATATTTTACCTCCAAATTATTACCCAAAATTGTGGCAAACCTGTTACAGTAGTCTCTCAGACTGGTGTTACCTGGGCAGGACAGATGGCTTCACATAATTTGCAAGCAATACACCTCTCTTCTCCAGATGGGTATCTCCTCAAGGCATGCTCCCCTCTGAAACGAGGGCTTAAGGGGCCCTTCTCAAATGGATAATTAATTGTTGCTGGTTCCTGGAAGAACTTGCTCAATGTCATTTGAAAACCTTCAAAAAAACGATATTGGACAATAAGACATTGCAATTTGAAATGGACCTTCAAGTAATGGATTGTGCTCAAGAAATTAAAGAAATTGTGGCCATGTTCTTGTAGTAAGGTGCCCAAGTCTCTTCATTATGGCAATCCTCCCTAAAACAGGAATTTTCCATCCCAACTAAGCACCAATACACTTAACTCTTATGGAGACCTTTCTACAACAACCACCTCTCTGTAATGATCTGATCTGACACTTGTCCCAGCGTAGTTGTTGAAGACAGGGTTAACCATGGTAAAACAGCACTTTTATGTACATGTATAATTTAAGGAGGTTCACTTGAATGTTGTCTTGAACCTGCTGAAGACTTCCATCCTATTGTCATGACTTGAGATCACTTGAAAGAGTGGTTTGAAAGCTCCAATCACCGAAACCAGTCACGATTTAGTCACTTACACTGACTGACTGACTGGCTGACTCATTGACAGACAGAAAGACTGATATTGATTGATTGATTGATTGATTACCTGATTGTTAATTGGTTTGTTGTGTAGTTCAGGGTTGTTATGTAATAAGTGACAATATTTTTTGTAGCTGCTTAGGCTTCAATTCCACAAAAAGTTGAAAACTGCTCCACCACACTACACTTTACTTATCGAGTGCCATTGAAAACCTAAGTATTTGAAATTACCTCGCAACAACTCTGTAAGGAAAAGTGTCTGTGCATTCCTCTCGGTGGAACTATGCCAATCCATTGGTATCTCATGTGCCTCTCTTGAGATGTACTCTGATAAAATACAAAGATCACAGGTTGAAGTACCTCTTTCATCAATCATAAACTTGGTATTATGATATACTTTAATAATTTTATTTGCTATATTGCAGCTGAGTGTTAAACTTAGTTTGTACTTACTGTATGTTTGTTTGCTGGACGAAACTGAGATTGTTCTGACCATCAGAGAATGCGGTTTTGGAATCTTCCGTGCTAAACGAGCATTAAAAAGTGAACATCATAAGTATGGAGCGGAAATATCAGCTCAGAATTGTCGATCATTTGTGTTTACCTGCTCGCCAGACCTGCGCCATCTTGTCTTGTGCACTGCAAGAGCGCAAGGCGTTGTGGGATAGGACAATTTATATGCATGCCAACATGCATGCCGGGAAGGCAACAAGACAAAATGGCGGACACACTTCGAGCTGCGTTTACCACAGTAACGGAGACTGTTTTCCCCACGTCACGCGCGATACGAAACCACCCAAGACACCACATGATCAGCACAGGTTGGGAGATCAATATCAGCTACTTGCATATTGTCAGAGCAAATCCTCTGGCGATTTTCTTTCTCCAAACATAGGGGAGGTGAAATTAAGTAAGCTTACTGTCTGCTGTCAGAACTGAGTTGTCACACTGCAACCAGAAAGCACAAAGCAACAGTGAGAGTAGAAAATACTATCAATAATTACAGAGCTGTAGCTTGAGTAATCAAGTTTCATTTCGTGTGCTCTGATCTCTTTCACCATTAAAATGACCACTGACATGTTGTACCTGGACAATTTGGTATGTCTGACTATGTCCGTTTAATAGGCGTCTGGGATTTGTCGTCATTTTTATGCAGAATATTTACATTTGGCTTCTTGTTAAGTCACCCAGTGATATGCATGCAAGAAATAAACTGAATTTAATTATAAAACAAACAGAGAAAACTCAAATATATTTATAAATATTTGCAAAACAACGAAACAAACAAACAAACTCATATACAAGTAAAAAATCAACTTCATGACTTGGGCACAAGCCACCAGAGCAATAATGATAACACTAGAACTGGGTCATTATAATTATGGGTGTCATTATCTGGAATCAGAAGTTTATCACCTTGAAGTAAGGTTCGATAAGGTGATAGGCTTATGCTGGAACATGTCTCAAGCCAAAAGTTAGGAAAGGATTGAGGATCCAAATAACATATAACCTGAAAATCCCGATGATATGGAAATGCACAGGAACTCTCTCTACTGTTAAGATGATCCCATTGTGGGAGTTTTAACTGTATGTCAGTTTAATTTTATTATTTGTTTCTTTCAGGAAATGAGATAGTATCCAACTTGGCCCTACAGATGTCATTGTACTTCAATGTCTATTTTTCACCATTTTGGTACACAACTTGCATAGTAATGCTTGTGGCCAAGGTAATTACAGCACTGACATCTCTGTCTCTGATTGTTATTCTCACAGTGGGCTTTAGATTATAATCCACCTCACCCCTAGTTATCTCCTTTGGCCTTGTCTTCCATGGGAAAAGGGTGTGAGGTGTGGTCCTGGGGGAGAGGTGAAGGTGGAGGAGGGTCCTCCTGAAAGGGTTACCTTTTCTGTCAAAATGGTATGCAAAACAGTAAGAGGTTGGACCTTAGGGTGGAGCCTCCCCATATATAACTTTGATGAGTACACTCCCCCCCCCCCCTCTTGGGGGGTGTGACAGACTGGAAGAAACTCTTGGAAAATCAGTGGTTTTCATTAAGATGAAAAACCTGTTTGCTAATACGAACAACATCAGAAAACTAACAGAGTAAGCAGCAGGAAGAAAGAAAATACTTTGTCTGAAAAAATTTTGTGCCATTTCCTCATGACCAACTTACATGAATTAGAAAAATAATTCTGAGTAAATAACTGTAAAAATTCGGCTGTTGAAAAATGGTTATTGCTTTCTTCGGAGACTAGCAAGAAAAGAGGTAGAAAAGTGGCTTGTCTTGTTGCCTCGGTTCTTGGTTATGATTGAGTAAATTTGCCCTTGGTACAATTTGCTACTTTTCTTTTTTCTGGCATATGGTAATAACATATGAAACAAAGGAAAATTCCAATATGAACCAAGCATAATATTGAACCACAACACATTATGACGTTTATTATTTTTTTAAGAAGAAAGTGTGCAGCATTTGTTTCAAGGAAAGATCAATCCTTGGGATGTTATTGTTTTTTAGTATTCAAAGCTAGACTCAGTTTACAAGTTCATAACAATTGTCATCTATGTTGCCATGGCATTAGTGGAGGTAGCCAGACTCTACTTGGGATATGCTGGAAATCTTCAGGAAAAGGTATTCTGACAAGTGCTGATTCTCTAGTGTATTGACTCAAGATCACTGATGTTTAGGAATATTTGTTGTGATGTGACAATCAAAATCTTTCAATAGAGTTGGCCAGAGTTCTAAGAACTGTGACACTTATTGTTAATTACTTCATTGCCATCATGTTGATGGCTAGTGTTTAGCAACAAATGGTTTAATTGTTTTCCTTGAAATTGTGCTTGAGACTTTTGGGGGGGAGGGACAGATGAGTTGTATATTTGACTTTCCTTTTTTCCTCATTTGAACCAGTGATCAGAGATAAAGTCTGCATACGAACCTTAAGGCCCGTCAGGTTGGCACTTATCTCCAGTTTCAGTAGCATGAGTGAAGTAACTAGGAGTATTTCTACTCCCCCTGGATGGGATGCTAGTCTATTGCAGGGTTACCCCAGCATTGAATTTGCTGGTACCCATTTATACACCTGGGTAGAGAGAAGCACTGTGAGAGTTAAGTGTCTTCCCCAAGAGCACAATAGATCAGAACTATTAAGGGATATTCTAAAAAAAATCCAGATATTTCTGTTTCTTTAACGTAATCTTAAGAAATGTAAGTAAGATTTATCATAAGCAAATTGTTATTTCTTTTTACACTGTGTGAAATGGTTGATTGACTAGTTTCAACCATGCAAGTGTTCTCAATTGAGACTTGTTTTTACTTCCTCATCAGGTTCCTCAGCTTGCTGGTTTCTGGATTCTTACTCTAGTACTACAGCTTCCTCTGACACTGATGTTGTTGCTTAATGAAAGCATGTTGATCATGCCGATGGAGAGAGCGGTGAACATTATAATGGCATTGTTTGTTTTGTTTGAGACAGTTCAGGGCTACAGGGTAATCAAGAGCATGATTGAACAGCAAATCTCTAAGTTTCATGTGCAGCAGTTTGATGACTTGACTGAACTTCAAGAAATGCAAGAACATGGGGTTGAGGAGGTGGGATTCAGGCCTCAGTGAGGAACTGAAGTCAATTTTGAAAGAAAAGCAAAAATGGTTGACTCAAAGTCATAGTACAGTGGAGATTAGTTTGAATATATTGGTGCAAGTTTCACTTCTTCTAGTTGTTTATACTCTTTGTAAAATTTGCATTTGCCCAAACTGTTGGCAACATTGACTAACAAGTTACGTACAGTCAAACATTGATTCTGTGGTCTTGCTCAGACTTGCAAAAATAGTGAAAATATGAATATAAAGGAACTGTTGGGGTTTAAATGTAAATAAGAGTTATCTGCAATAAGTTATTTATGTCGAATGAAAAGGTGTAAACACTTAACAAAACTGTAAGTTTGTCATTTACAGCCTGCACTTTAAGTGTACATGTTTATACATACTTTGTATTCTTTTGAAAGATTTTAAGTTGTACATACAAGAGCTGTTAGTATTTATTGGAGAGTGTATTTTGTTCAAAGGAATAGGCAAACTGGTCATAGAATAAGCCATAAGTAAATCATCATTTTGTTGAATGCATGGTTGTGTTAAACTGAGCCTGAGCTTAAGGTGGCCGAACACAGTTTTCGCACGCACTTTTGCTGATGCAATTCAGCGCACATGTTTGCTGATGCAATTCAGCGCGCGCACAAGGATTGCAAAAAACGATCATGCTGTCAATAGAGCGATCATTTTATTTACTCAACACCCCCAGTATCTGCTATTTTTCTCTATAATTGAATGCAGTGTATTGATGGCCTTAGTCTTTTATTACAAATATATGTGAGAGAAGGTAACAATGCAAAGAGCCCAGCAATTCTCAGCTTTTTCTTTCTTAACGAAAGAACCAGTTAAATGCAGCTCGTGCGTAGTAAGTCAAAAAATTGCGATTGAATGAAAAATTGCACTCTCAGAAATATGCCTATTCATTAGAATTTCATGAAATTTGGCCCAAAAATACTTTAGGAAATGAGTAACTGGAGTATTGAAAATAACTGAACTTTAACAAAGGAAATTCTAGTTATTTCAGTGAACCTTCAACAAGGGATAATTGAAGATCTCTCCGTTAATTAGCAAAATGGTGATAACTTGTGAGAATCGTTACAAGCTTGTTGCATGCAAATTATAAAGAAAATCTAGTGACTAGAATTTCTAAAAATAAACAAAACTGATTTTAAAGGCCTGTTTATATTTATTCTTGTTGCCATGGCAATGGGACATATGTCAGCTTAACCATCAAGAAACCAAAGTTTGTGTTGTTAACTTGCTGCCATTTTTGATGACCGAGGGATCAAGGGTTTTAGAGAAAAAGGTGAATGAAACACAGGTATCAAAAACTGTGTTCAGACACCTTAATGGTGCCTTTGGCAGCTCCTCTGGCTTACTTCATCCCTGAGTGAGAAAAAAAGAGATTTCATTTACTGGTTTAAGTGTCAGAGTATTTAGCACTGCTGTGCAAAGAATACACAAACAAAATAACATTGCAAATAGAACAGCAACTTGCCAAGAATCCCAGCTGGTGGGAGGCTGACCAGTTGGTTGTTTTGATGCAAAGTGGAGTTGAACTCTGGACGACCAAGTCAAGCTATTGATTGGATGGAGAATTTGAACATAGGGCTAATAGATTTCGACTCCAGCACCCTGAAACAAGCCATACCAATACCATAAGCCAAAAGTTCAAGTAGCCAAAAACATTAAAAATCAAAATGGCTTCTTGCTCAGTGTTTCAAGAGTTGAAGAGGAAGTGCTTACATTCTAAACTGTATCAGTTCTTATCAGCCTAGAATACAGTACATGAGCTACGCCTGATACAAGGCTTGTATTGACTAGTTCAAGGATGACTTGTATAATGCTGTTAAGATCCTGTCTGTCCTCGTTTCCCATCCAACTTGATAGTAAAACCATCATGCACTCAGGGAAAAGTTCTTTAACAAGGACTGATGATGGAGGGAGGTTGTCAATTGAAGTGATGTGTTTCTTCTTAAAATCAGTTACTCTTTCGCCGATTCCAGGCTGCAGTTTGTTAAATTCGTCACCAAGGTACTTGCTGATTGACACAAGTATTCTTGACCATCCATTTTTTTTCTGTGACTTTTGAAGTTCAAACTCTTTAAAAATTCTCATTGTGGACACTAAAAGATCATCAAGTTCACATTGTTCTTCATTTTTTGATAGTCTCGCTATTTCTTTGATACATTGCTTTACTTTAGGTATTGTAAAATCAATGTCCAGTCCTGTACTTGAAGGAACTAGGCTTAAGTTGGAATAAAGAGTAGCATTTTCCACAGTTTGAGTGCTCGGACTTTCTGACAAGTCGGAGTTGTCATTCGAGTCGATTACTTCTGTTGAACTTGTTTCTTCTGGCAATCTACGAGCTGTCACGCATCGGGAAGGACGACTCTGAAAGGCAAGGTCAATTTCTCGTTGTAGGGGCGGGTCTGAAAATCTTAGCTTCCACGTGGCACAAAGCTGTGTAAGGCATTCCAGTTGCTCTTCGCGGGTGTAATACTCGAAACACACTCTAAACAGTCCTTGAATGGAGTAGAACCACACACCCCTGGCCGAACCATGGACACCTTGTAGTCGCATAGGGGTGGGAAAGTTAACCTTAACGGCAAGACCCTGCTTGGAGAATTTCGCATGCATTCTTGGCAAGTTAGAAACAGCAATGGAACACCCAGACAAGACGTCAGCTCCTAAAAACAGAGGAATACTATCCTGTGATGTTCGCAAGTTTGAATCAGCTGAATCTGTGGAAGGCCATTCCAAGAAACGTAATTTTCTTTCACTTATTTGAAGTTCCCTCAACTGTACCTCTCTGTCCGCCATCTTGGTTTTTTTAATAGTAGCCGCTGAAATATTTCACTGGCTCAAAGTTGTTTTATCACCATGCGCGTGATCGAACACCCGTTGCTAAGGAACCATTGCTTGTTTTCCAGGACTCCTCGCAACAAGAACTACAAAGAAAGTTTACTTCACTGAAGACGGACATTTTGTAACGAGAAAGCAAGATGGCTAGGTTGGTACAGCCTCCTCCGAAATACACCCCAGAAGAATGGCACGCTTCGAATCATCTTCAATACTTCAACGCCGAGCACGAGCGAGCCGCGGCTGAGAGGCTTCGCGACGAAAGCCTTCGACTCGCTCATGAGACCGAAGTCAGAACAAGACAGACTCAACTGGACGTGAATAAGAAGCTCGATCAACGCATCACAGATATAAACTTTTGGAAATCGGAATTAGATCAGAAGCAGGAAGAAACAGAAGATGAAATCTCTACTATGCTTCAGTTCAAGGCTAGGGTAGAAAAAGCCTTAGCGGACACAGAACTGCCGCTTATGATAGCCCAACAATGTCTTGCTAACAGAGAGAAGAGAATGAAAGTTGATCTCGTCCACGACAATGTGGAAATGCAGCTTCAGAAGGTAAAAACATGTTTCTCTTCTTTACTATTTGCTCTTTTAATTGAGATCTTTAATAATACGTTTTAATTAATCTGACCTTTTGTTATACCATACCCTGTCTGTATGTAATTTTTGTAGGAAGTGGAAGTCATTGAGGGCGTTCAGGCTTTACTACAGAGGACTCTTGAGCAAGCAACAGAGCAAATAAGGTGAATTTCTGTCATATGTTAATAAAAAGCAATGCTTCTTTTTTCAGCTACTTTTAACCTGTCGTTTCTTGCTTTTCAAGTGAATTTTATCCTTGCTTATGCAATTTGTTGATAGCAGTACTTCAGTTCTAGGTATAGTGTTGAATCAGTGAAGATTCAATTCTTAGACATCTTTTTTTATGGCGATGGATTGAACATATAAGAATTCAGTGTATTCAGGCAGCTTTTTTACTGGTGATTCTCAATACATACATTTCCTGGGAAAAAGACTATAATTTTTTATTTGTCATTAGAATTTACCAAGGCTTGGCTTAAGTGTGTTTAAAGCTAAAATGGCTACTTTTATAACTTTTTTTCACTTTTCATCGAAAACAGGCTTTTGAGGTCAGCTAAATATTATCTGGACAAAGACAGGAAGGACAAATTCCAAGCTCACGGAATTGACAATAAGTGTGCATCTCTAGAAAATACTTCTGCTGGGTTACATTTTGCCAAAGGTGCTGTCAAAGTGGAAAAGAAGTAAGAATTCGCTTATCATATAATTTTCACTTTAATTAGAATTTCTGTTGTAAGAAATGGAAGGATTGTCAATGTTGCTCTCCAATGTTATAAGACTGGCAACTACAATCGTGGACAAAAGTCCTTGGGACACTTATGTAATGTAGCAGATTATTGTATCTGTGTTTAATAGAACTGAAGTATGAAGAAAACGCTGCTAAATCCTTTATAAACGGGTATCTGTCCCCCCTCCCCCCCCCCCCCNGGTGGGGGTCGAGGTTAGGCAGGTGAAGTTGTATTCGCGCCTGGCGTGTACGCAAAAGCGCCAAAAGTGCAAATTTGTCCCAAGACTTTTGTCCACGATTGTAGGTGTGATCTGGAAATTGCCAATCAATTCTAGAGGTCACAGGTTTGAATCTCTTCAAAGTCAAATAAAGTAGTTTGTAGTTATTCCTTTTTTTGATTTACTCAGTCTCGTGTAGTGTTGTGGAGCACTGCTTTGCAACCACATCAAAAATATTGTGGCTTCTTTTTCCAGCCTGGGAAAAATACCAGTTATTTTGAATTCTTACTCTAAGAGCACTTTTTTTATATAGGCTTGATTTCTGCCATTCTCTTAGGTCCAGTAATGGAGCATACCTTAAAGGCAACCACAATTCGGGGGGGGGAGGGTACTCCCAGAAAAATTGGGTGGGGGTGTGCGGCCCACTTCCCAAAACCCCTACCCTATTAAATATGACCAAAATCTGCGATATTCCCTACCCTATTTATGACCCGACCAAAAATTCAAAACCCTATTTATGATCGACCCTTATATCAGAAACTATACCATACCCTATAAACCATACCCTATTTATGTCCAAAATGGCCAAAATCAGCTAAAATTGATACCTTATTTATGACCTAAATGGCTAATATCTATATAGCCCATATAAGAGAGTACACCTCCCGGGCCACAATTTTATTTATTAATTAAAGAACTTTGCCTATCATCATTATAATCCCTGTCTCACTCAGTGTAGTCTGTAAGAAAAAATTCTTACTTGTTCTACAAAAAAATATATATACAGTAGAATCCCGTTTATCCGGTCACCAAGGGGCCACAAAAATTTGGCCATATTAATGGGGGTGGCCGCATTAACAGGGTTCTTTAATAAGAAAAAGACTGACTGAGCAAGTGTCTGCAATAATGAGGTGGCTGTGTTAACAAGGTGGCCTAAGGCAGGGTTCCACTGTTGTTAGTCAGAGAACTTAAGTTAACTAGTTAGTTAAATCTTGCCTCGTGTTTAATTGGCCGTTACTTATTTTTGACTTCAGCTCTGTTACTCCAGACGAATGGGAAGATTTTTCCAACAAGAACATTCTCAAGGCAGAACGTGAGAAAAACTCTGCCATAAATCTACGCAGCATTATAGACGGCATCCTTATACAGACCTTGAGTGATCTTCAGGCTCAGTGTCAAGCTGTAAACCTTGCATTCCAGAAGAGAATTGAGGAGACTGTTGAAGCAAAGACAAAACTTGAGCAACATTTAGCAAAGGTGGGTTACACCTGATCATGCATTTGAATGTCTTCTAGTGTAGGCCCAGTGGGGCTTGGGGGGTACTCCCAGAAAAGTTGGGTGGGGGTGTGCGGCCTGCTTCCCAAAACCCTTACCCTATTTATGACCAAAAATTATCTGCCATTTTCCCTACCCTATTTATGACCTGACCATTAAATCAAAATCCTGTTTCAGACCTGTGTTATAATGAGTTCCCTAGTTCAGACCAATGTTAAATTACCATAAACATAATTTGTGAAGGGCTTTTGTTAATTTTCTTTTCGATAATG